ATAACCAATAATCTAAATTTACTTCCTTGGAAAAACATATATTTAAAAACTCTCAAATCTCCATAAGGCTCTATTTCAAGCTGGTTCAAAACACTCTTAAACCAAATATTCACCTTTTTTATAATATGCATATGGCCCAACATCCAACTTCTATTAATAAATGCATTTTTAAATACATTTAATCTAATCATATTTCAATCTGATAACATTAAAAATATATAGACAATTCATACCTTATCCTCAAACTGGCATATAGGCAAAATAACAAACAAATCCAACTTATTACTACTCTTTCAAAACTACCAAATTATCAATTCAATATCTAACACAATTTGTATTTCTTCTACATCGATAATGATTCAAATCAATTACAAAAATACTATTAACCTAAAATGCAAAACACAAAAAAAAACAATAACACTTTGAGCTTAACATCAACAACCAAGAAATTCAAGCATTTCAAAATATTCACTTAGAGCTCTACAAACTAGTTTCTTAATCTTTATCCTCTCTTTCAATATTTTTCTTAAAAATTCTTTTAATACAAAACACAATATCTAATTCTACTTATCAAAACCAACTCATTAATCTTCATAAAAAAAATCCTATTGCTGAAACCAACCAATCTAAACTTCTATACAGATGTCTCTATACTCAATTTACAAACAAATAACATCTCGACAGGCATCACTTGAATTCTTGAAAAGAATATACAAATCAAATTTAATGCTTCTATAACTTATATACCAAACTCAACACAAGCGAAATTAGTAGCACTCATTCTTCTATTACTCATCCTACCTGTCAATTATCAAATTTATATTTACTTAAACAGTTTATCTACCATTCAAACACTCTCTAATACACTAATCTACTACTACAAATCACAAACTAAACAAAATAATTAAAATATTATACATATACTCAATTATTTAATAAAACTTAAAAACATCAATTACATTATATACAAAGTTAAATTATATTCAAAAAATACTTTACATAATATAACTGATTCTCTTGCCAAACAAGATGCCAACAAGACTAAATTAAAATTTAATCTTGATCACTTTTACCTACCTACTTATTTTTCTTGAAAAGAAATTTCAATTATATACAAATTATGTAAATTCTGTAAAAACCTAATTTCGATACAAACATTTAACAAACTTTTTCAATTCAAACTACTACAAAACATTTTAACTAGAAACATTCTATTATTAACTGAAATTATTAATTCCCCAAACTCCAATCTCAAACTATATTCTATTAAAAACAAAATACTTCTTAATAATTTATCTACAATGTCAAATCTTTATACCTGCTATCTTCTTTTTATTTAATCCCAAATTGCTCATATTGCAATCAATATAAAAGTATTAAACACTTATTCCAATGCTCACTTCATTTCTACAATCCACAAAACACTCTCACTAATAAAATCTCAAATGCTTTAAACTTTTTAAACATTACAGAAACTCCATCCAATGCAATAATACAAATTCTTACTATACAAAACACTTCTCTCAACCTAAATACTGTATATATAATACAATACTATTACTCATTCAGGATACAATAACCCTTAATCAATACAATCAACTTCAACTCATTCTAAAAAACTAACTAACAATTTTCTTATTTCTTTATTTAACTCATTACTTACTTGGTTTAACTCTACTATCTGGCAAACACTAACACTAAACAACATGAATAGAAAATATTATGAGAAATTATATCCTCTACTAAAAAAAAAAACAATATTAGATTACCTACTTCTTAATTTACAAATTCTAATAATATTACTTTCACTTTTAACACCAATATAGATCTCTTTATTTCTAAAACTCTTACTCAAAACTTCACTATACATACCTGTTTTTACTAATTAAATAATCTTAAGGATTTTTTTTACTTTTTCTGTAGTTAAGTCATATCAATTAACTCAACTAAAAACAGAAAACTAAAAGATAATATCACACTAGATGATATAGTATATAACAACAATAGTGTAGTTTAGGAATAATATTTTAGTTATATATCTATATCCAATTGATATATAAATGTATTTTTATTTTTTCTACTTGATATTATATAAATAAAATAAAATAATAATAATAATAATAATAATAATAATAATAATAAAAAAAAAAAAGATGTTGAATCTGATATAGTATTAGATCAAAAATTGAAATACTAGACTCAATTAAAAAAATACAAGAAGAACCAAACACAAAGAATATAGAAATAACAAATCTAAATCTACCTATTACTCAACAAAACAAAGTAACTAAAATACTAAAAACCTTAAGAGAACACTACACAATAAAAGAAATTTCTAGATTTTTTCTCACATTCTCATCTTTTTTAGAATCTAACTGGTGAATATTTTGCCTATATGCAAAATAAATGACAACAATAAAAAAAGATAATAATTTAATCTCAATATCTTAAAAACAAAACACATTACTTTTTCAATTAAACAACAATAACTTTAGTAATATATTACAAATTTCTTCTAACAAAAGCTTTATAGATATTAAAAACTATCTTAATATTGTAATTCACAATATACAAGAACTTAACAAGCTACTAAAACTACAAATCTGGTTAGAATATTGTGCCAAAAACAATTATTACATTGTCTCAATTATGAAAACTAAACTCAAAAACTTTTCTGTCTTAATATTATCCAATTTACTTTACAAAATCTACATATTTAACTTTAAACCAAAAAACAATTCTTAACATGAAGCTGATATAGAAACTGTAAACATGCTTTATAATAAACTTAAACATTACATATTTAATATACAACTAGTAGCAGGCATAGCAATAAGCATTAACTTCTATCTATCTTTAAATAATAAGCTTTGTCTTATTTTAGTATATCTTTTATCAAACTAATTAAACCAACTTAAAACTATACAAAATATAGTTAGCAATTAGTTATTCTAAGCAAGAAGCCATAACTAGTATACAATTACAATGGGTGACTTTAACAATAATTAGAATTGCCTTAAACAAACATTAAATCACTTTACTATACTTTAATCACTATTATCTACTAGCTTAATAGAATTCTATATAATAACTGAACCTATATGGCAAAAAGGATCAAACCAAAACTAAATAGATACATATGAGTCAACTTTGAGATTTTACAGACTTTTGCTTACTCACAATTATCAATCCAGTAGATATTACAAATAGTGATTATAAAATAATTGTTACTATATAAAAAACAAACTTTCAGCTAAAACTACTATGATCTAAAAAAAAAAAATCTATATTATCAGATGTCAATAGGCAAATGAGAAGAATTTTTTAATGCACTTATATTAAAATTCAAACTAATACTTCCAATACAAAACATTACAACAATACAACAACTAAACAAACTTTAGAACAAATAGTCAAACTTAATTAAGAAAATTGCAAACTAAATTATACTAAAAACTTATACAGTTTCTAAAACATAGTATGCCAACTCTTTTAAAGCAACTAAATTATATCTGTTACTCAAACTAACAAACAAATATCTAGATTTTTTTTTTTTTTTAAACAGTCATGCTAATGCTTTATTAAGATTTTAAAATTATATTTGTAATTATATAAATATCCTTAACAACTAAGCCCAACATCATCTAGCCACTCTAATAGTACCTAAGTGCAACCTGTTGCATTACTTTAAGCAGAAGTAAGCCATTCATCTAACTACTTAAAGTCTATAATGAAAGGGTCTTCTCTCTTCTATAACAAGCTCTAAAATTGTTTTTTGTACTTCTTTTCTGATTTGTTTTTCTTTTCTTTTCATTTTCATTTTTTATTTTTCTATTACTTGCTAATTTGGTTTTTTTTTTTTACTTGGTGCTTTTCTTACTTTTTTTTATTTTTTTTTATTTTACCTGTTATTTTTTTATTTTTTTTTATTTATTAATTTTCTTATATCAGGTTTTTTATACTTGTTTATAGAATGTATCTCAGGTCATTCTTGCTATTACATTTATAAACTGCTACCTTGATCTTGTACTCAAAAGCAGTCTCAATCTGTCTTGTATTTCTTTTGGAATGAGACCTTTAATTAGTGCCTCTCTTATTTTAATTTTCTCTTCTTCTGTTTTACCAAAAAGCACTATGTATATTTATATGAGGAAACTCAAACTTTTTCTTCTTTTTTTAACCCTTTTTAGACTGTTGCAATAGTTACTTTTTGGATTCTTTTTTACAGATTCCCTTTGTTTTTTACATGCTGCCAAATGTGTTTGTGTTTCTTTTGTTTTATCTTGGCACACTTGGCACTCTGTTGTTGTGTATACATCTGGTCTTTTTTTGTTAAGTTCTTCTAGAATTAGAAGTTTATCTATTATCAGTCAGCCAACATGTCGGAGATAATCATCATTACATTTGCATATATATATATATATAAAAATTAAAATTTAATAGTAAAAATCTATAAAATATTTGATTTTTTTGGATTTGTAGGCTACTAAAACATTGTACATAAATCTTTTTTGGCTATAATATTCTTGTAACCTCCTACTATCAGCTATACAAATTTTATCAACAGTTAAAAAAGTAGTTAATAATAATCTTGAACCCAAAGTTAGTAATTGAATATGAAATTAAGCAGTGTATTAATGAAAACAATTAATGAAATACAAATACTTTTTTAGGTTTTATGTCACCAAAACCCTTGAACTACTATTTTCAGCCTTATTTCAATAAAGCTTTATGAATCTGTGAATAAACATAAAAGGATCTTGTAAGTAGTTAAACACAGAATAATCTAGTCTAAAGGTAGCATTTTGTGCAAAATCAACTGACATATAAGTTTTTTTTTTGGCTTTATAGGTTACTAGAGCTAGTTAGACACTTCTTTGATTTTCCAGCCATAATGTTTTACAAGCATTTTGTACAAACACATAGGCTAAAATAATTGAGCCCAAGAGTATTTGAATATAAGATTAATCAAAGCATATTAATTTTGTAGTTTACTGTAAATGTCTTATAGAGTTTTTGGTTGCAAGGCTCTTGTAGTATTCAAGGTTTCTTGGTTCTGTCATTCTTCATGTATATTAAAAGAAGTTTTAAAAACAATAACTTCAAAAATCGATAAAATGATGTGAGTATATGTTTAAAAAGACAATTGAATATGATTTTAGTGATTATTAATGATAATTTAAGTATTACAGATCAGTTCTGATGAAGCTATTAATTCTTTTTAACAGTTCTTGGAGAATATGATTTTTTATAAAGAATTAGCTAAAGATGGGAACTTTGGTGTAATATATGAACTAGCGGAATGCTATGTTCATAGTAATAGTGCATCTAAATGAAGAGAAGGAAACTTTGGTGCAATATACAAACTAGCAGAATGCTATGTTCATGATAATGTTTAAAATGAAGAGAAGAAAACTTTGGTGCAATATGTGAACTAGCAGAATGCTATGTTCATGGTAATAGTACACCTAAAAATAAAAAGGAAAGAACTTTAATACAATAAAGTAATAACAGTTAAATTAAAAATAAAAAAAAAGCTTTTAGTTCTTTATATGATGTAAAAATAGGATATAAAGTTCTTGTACTATAATTTATAGTTATTTTGTTTCTTTTTTTTTATTTTTATTTTATTATAATTTAAGTTATTAATCAGTCATGTATCAATATAAGATTGATAATAATATATTAAAATAGTTTTATATTTTAAATACTGTAAAAATTGCCAGATAATTAATAAATTATAAGATATTTGATTTATTATGATTAATTTAAAATATAATATATTAGAATTATTATAATTATTATTTTATAATTGAAAAATAAATAATTTATAATATCAGTTCATGCTTGAAAAGTAATGAAACTATATTCATTCTTCACACTCAAAAACTTGATGTTTTGGATTTGCTCAGCTGAGAGATAAAAAAGTTTTTGTTTTTTTTTAGCTTTTTTTATTACAAAATTAAAAATTCTCCAAAAAAAAAAAAAAAAAAAGGTTCTATCACAAAATTCCAACATCAAAATAGTATCCAAAATAATATCCAAAATTCTGACAAGTTAAAATACCATATTTCAAGATTTTGGTTATATCAGGATTTTAGTTGTCTGAATTAGGTGTTGGAATTTTAGTATTGTTGGGATTTTGGATATTATTCTGAATGTTAGGATTTTGAATATTATTTTGAATGTCAGTTAGGATTTGTGTTAGAACAAAAAAAAAATTAAAAAGATCTTATTTTATCTTAATTCATAAATTAAACATCAAATTAAATCAAACCAACAAAAAAAACTATTAAAATAACAATTAAAAATACCACTATCAAATAAAATAGATAATTCTTCACAATCTTCATAAGAATTCTTGCTGCTCAACTATAGCCAAGATGAATTACAAGAGGATTTAATAAATATTGTAGACATAATTTTATAAGATGATAAAAAAGAACATGACAATGATCCTGTGTTCAACTTAGAGCAAAGCCTATACAAGTATGCTCTAGCTTTAGCAGAATTTAAAAATGACTCATAGAAAGAATTTAGTGCAGAAGACATACCAATTTTGCAAGAAATAAGTAATGAAGAAACTGGTGATGAATATAATGAAGAGATTTCTATAATTAAGACAAAACAAACTACACCATATGTCATAATCGATAATAATTATGAAAAAATACGATACTATAATAGAGAATCTGCTAAGAGATTGCAAGAATTAATTGGTATCTGGAAAATTGACAAAGATGCTATTAATGATGTTAATAAAGAACTTTATCATCCTGATATATGTTCAAGACATTTTAATTATAATCAAAATACTGTGTATAGCAAAAATTTAAAAAATGAACACTCAACTGAAAAAAGTGAAATCAATTGTCATATTTGTTTTGTCTGCAAAAAAAAGAAGTTTTTTTTTAGTTGTAGAACAAGCTATATAGAACATACATAGATTGTATACAATTAAAAACTACAAGTATCTTGTTATGAAATAGTTCTTTGCCTAGCTATTAATAAAAGCTTTTGTACAAAAAATATCCATAATTCACAGTAAAGGCCTGTGTTGGGTCTTGCAGCCTGGCTTGCAAAATTTTGCAGGCCAGGCCAGGCCTGAAGCAAAATTTTATAATTGTGGGCCAGGCTGGGCCTGAAGCAAAATTTTATAATTGCAGGCTGGGCCAAGCCAAAAAATTTGCAAAACTTTATAATTGCAGGTCAGTGTGGATTTAAAAATTTGTAAAATTATATAAGAAATTTTTGCAAGCCTGGTCAGGCTGGGCCGGGCTAAAGAAAAAATTTAACATATGTGGGCCAGGCTGAGCCAGCAAAAAAATGATAACCCTAAATGTGGGCCGAGCCAAGCCTAAAAAAAATTTTTAACCCTAATTGTAAGCCGGGCTGGGCCTCAAAAATAGACAATTTGTAGGCCCCTAATTCATAGGGAGTTCATTATGTGTATTGTAAGTATTATGAAAAGAATGAAAGGCATTTGCACGTATATATGAGTACAGGTAAAGCAGACTCAAGATGCATTGCAATGCATTTAAATAATACCAAAACTATGCTTCTCCATTTTGCAAAGCTAATTAAAATAATGGCATACTCAGAAAATGATATAATAAAAAAGAATTTACTTTAAAACTTTATTCTATATATAGAAAATTTTAATCTGAATTCATCTTTCACATTATTTAGCAAATTACTTAGCTTGTTTGTCATTAATATGATTCTCAAAATTAAAAAAATTGATTTTTCCAAACAACAACTTATACAAAAATCCAAAAAATATGAAGAATTTGAAAAATCACTTGCCATTGAAGTTTTAAAATTACATAACAGCTTAGCATCTTATAAGTCAATATTAAAAAGTCTCGATTCTTTATAGCAATATTATGAAGCAATACCAAAATGCTTAACAAGCCTTTTTGATAATTTATTTTATACTTTGCTATTTCAAAAATATGAAATTGTTAGACAAAAACAAAAAGAATACAAAAGCACTATAACTGAATTTGATGAAAGCAAAATAGTGAAAAGCACAGTATTTTTGTCTTTTATAATTTTAATAACCACATTTAAAGGCTAGAAATTTTGGCTTCCACAAGTAATTAGATCTTTTTGTAAATGACCAAAGCTTACAACATACTTGTGTATTGTTCTTCATGCAGCAAATATGGTAGCATATTCTAAAAATTACAAAGTGAAAGTTAGAAAACAATAAATGAAAGAAGCAAATATACAAAAAAAACTTAAGTCAGATCCAAATATTTGAAACTTGGCTGTAATAGACAATATCGATTTTAAAGAAAAAACATTCAGAGCCAGAAATCTGTATGACAATATATAGGATACAGCTCATACAACTTTACATATAGTGTTTCAGTTTGAAATACCTAATATTAATATAGCACTATTAGCTAGTAATGTTGAACTGTATAAAAAAAATCTATTTGTAAAAAAGTGGATAAAAAATCTTACTCAAATCTTTAAATAGTTAATGGCAGAATATCTGATAGAGTTTACTATGAATAAAATAAACATTGCACTCAAAGAAGCAGTGAGAAGCAGATGCAAGACTCCTCCACCAAATGTCATTATTTTAAAAGCTGAACCTGCTCCAAACAGCAATCTTGCAGTTTATAGAACTTGTAAAATGTATATAGAAGATCTAAATTTGAATCAAGAAGACTCGTTAAACATTGCATATGATGAAGCTATCTTTCGCAGACTTACAAATTATTTCAATAATCAATTAAAACTAAATCCTATTTTTGGTTAGTGGCATATGAGCAAGAATATGTGTAGTGCTTTAATTGTTACTTTCTTTGATTATGAATTTATTAGAATTAGCATCTATACTTGGCATAAAATTCTTAGAAAAGCTTCAGGATGTTGTTGATTACTGAGCAACATTTCGCATTTTTGAGCTTATTTGAGCAACTGTAGCTATTGTTATTTATATATATATAGACAATTATAGTATAATACTAGAAGATATCAAGAATGCAAATAATAATGTTTTAAAAGTTTGGTACCTATATTATCAATGGGCAAGTTGGCTTAAGCTTCATAAAATTGGCATTCGAATGGGTAATTTCGAAGTTCAACATGAACATTTGAAAGCTTTTGCTTTGCTATTTCCTATTATTGGAAAAAGTAGATATGCAGAATCAGTACTATATTTCTTAATGACAATAGAAACAAACCCAATACTAAAAGCAAAACTTCAAACAGTTGGATCTATAAATCTTATTGCAGATAAAATTTCTTTGGATTTGATAAAGCACTTGAGTATTTTGGCATAAAATTCATTAAACAAAATATGACTAGACATCTAACCAATATAAACAATTTAAAATTAGTAATTAAAGCAGCCCAAAATGAAAGAGATCGATTAATGACATTGTATGCAGAATATGTAACTAACATCTATTTAAGTAAAACCATGTGTGCAAAGAATAATCATAAAGAGGCATTATAGAAGCTAGTAAATACACTTTACGAAGCAATTACCTCTAATGAATCTGAAAAGCACTACTGTTTGAGATCTTTAGTCAACTAATACCTGCTGAATATGAATGCATGTTTAATTATTATAATAAAGAGATAGTTAGAATCATGAAGATTATTAAACAAGATATTTTAAAAATAGAAAAACATAATACAAAGAGACAAAAATCAAAGGATTTGGTACCTTACTATGTTAGAAGAAAGGCAGCTAAAGGTAAAAAGTGAAGTATAGAAGAAATTAAATAAAGAATTTATAACCAAGCTCTAATAACAAGTATATAAGAATTATTTTAGTAATAAAAAGTTTTTTTTTTATTAATAGATCTGATTAAAGTTGACTTAAAAAAATGTTTTATAAACTTTATCTTATATATAGAGAATGATCTTCTTTTATATGTTATGTTTTCCTAGATCTGTAAAGTAATACCTGATAAAAAAATATATTTTCTTGAAGCTTATGCTTGGCACAACCTTCTCAAATACCTTTTATTCACTTTGTGTTTATATTTGAAAATAATCTTGAATGGGAAGCAAAACTCTTTACTAATTTTAAGACACTGATTATTCAACAAAATATCTTATGAAAATGGTTAAATAAACCACAGTTCTATAGTGTAAAGCAGGTAGAATAAAGTTTTTAAAAAATATAATATATATATATAAATAAAATTCAAACTATTTTATTGTATAACTTATTATCTATATAATAAAAAATTTTAAAAATTTATAGTAGATTAATTTTGTATAATATGTTGGCTAACTGTTATGCACTTTATAAATGCACTTTTTCTGGTACTACTTCTTCTTGTTGTGCAGTATACTTCCTTAGATATCTTTAGTTTATTTCAAAAATATGTCCAATCATAGATCATAACTTCTGTTTTTGGTTCTAATTCTCTAATTGCTTTCATTTCTTTTCATTCTGCTTCTAGTCTTGTGTTCATTATCAATTTGCAAAGCAGTCTTGCTAATATATCAGTACATTTGTTTTTTTACTTTAAGCAGTACTCTATCTCTTTACAACTGACTTTTTCAACCTGTATTATCTTTTTATTTATTGCATCTTTTTTTGCTAAACTATTAGCTTTATCATTACATTTATCTTTACTATAGCTCTTAACTTTAACAAACTCTATCTAAATGTTTTTTGTCATAATAAGCTTTCTAATTTTCATTACCTATATTGTGTTCTTCTTTTTTTAGAATCTTATCTTTGCATACTTGTTCTAAATCTCTACTACATTTCTTATTGTTGCATTACTATCTGTATATATTTCTACTTGCTTCTTTCTTAGTATTATTAAAATTGCAGCCCATATTGCTACTAACTCAGCTATTGTTGATGTTTGCTATCCTTCTAAACCTAATGCTATCTCTTCTTCTGGCTATCCTTGTGTTTTATCTGTTTGCACCCATCCTATACCTATACTATTTTTGTTTCTTGTATCTTTTTTAGTCTTCAAATTTGCTATTCTATCTGTGTATATTATATACTTGTTCTTGTTTCTTATTATATTTCTTCTTAAAATTTCTATTATTTTTTGACTAATGCTGTCTTTTAACTTTTGTTGTCTGATTATCTCTATTTTTGGTTCTTTGATTATTCTTAGTTCTTTAAATTTCTGTTCTTCTATTATTGGATTGTTTGTTTTTATTTTTTTTTTTATTTGATCTATTGCTATTTTAATCTTGTTGCTGTCTTTTTTTATCAATGCATCTGAAATCATATTGGTTTTGTTATTTACTTTTATTCACTATTGGCAGCTATCTTCTTAATGTTCTTCTTTTCTTATACAATTCTTACATCTGCTAATTTTGATAGCTAATTTACTTTCTTTACTTTGCATTTACCAATGTTCTACTAGTATTTTTTTCTTTTCTTTTTGACTATTTTTCCTAACTGTTGACTGTTTTGTGCACTATATGCTACCCATTCTTTTCTTTTTTTGTTTTCTGAAATATGCTCCTATCTTATCTGCATTGCTTGAATGTTTTGCTTGATTGTTCTAAATTGCCTTTTAACTTCTTTATTTTCTAATTTAATAAGCATTTCTAGTTCTATTATTTTGAACTATTCTGCCTTTTTTCTTTTACTTAATAAATCTTGATAGCTTTTCAGCTGCTGCCATATGATTAATCTTTCTTCTTTTGTATCTATCAGCTGGTTTAAATATATTAGGCCTGCTTTATTTATTTCAGTATTATTTCTTTTTTGTAACTGCATATCTATGAGTTCTCTTATTTTGGTTTTATATTCAAACATTGTCTATAAATTACCTTTTGCTCTTATACTTATATTAAGCTTTTTGGCTTTTAGCAATATCAAACAAGCTAAGTTATTTTTCTAACCTTCTATATTTTCTAGCATCTTTTCTATTTTTCATATATCTTTTATTAAATCTGCTCTCTAGCAACCTTGTATTATTCTTAGTTTTGTTAACT